CCTTGTAAACTGACACGCAGATTGACGCAGATTTAGTTCCGATTTTGTCTACTGAACAGATAAGTTGGTGGCACTGTACTTGAGTGTTCAAGCGACCCCCCCCCCCCCCTCCTCACTCCAGCCCATGAATTTGAGATATAAAAAGAATAATACCAATCGACGTATCTTAAATAGCACTTTCCAAAATTATTTATTATTAAAACAGCACCCTCTTAGTTTACGAGTAAAAAATAAATAAATATACTACCTGCTACACCGTCTATATCACATGAAATACTTCGAATTTCGTACTTTTTGCACAGTGGAAAACCTGCGCCCTACTCGAAACTATCTGCACTATCATTAGAATTTCATAAAATGCAATAGTTATTGAAACAAACAAACAAAACGTAATCAGTCAATTGCCGAAGGCGCGTGGTACGTTTGCGCATGCGCAGGTCATACATCTAGGGCACAGAACATATATACCCCTTTTTCGAAGGTTCGAAGCAAGTTCCCACCCCTAACCTTATCTGCGCTTTCTTTTCTGCTGTGAATGTTGATGCTCCAAAAAAACAATTTGATAAGATAGCTAAAAAGTCTCTTTGCATCTGGTACAGACGCAGATAAGAGTAAAAATTGTACTGCTATGTTTACCTCTTAGTGAAAGTTTTTTAATAGAATAATATTGAAAATAATTGTCTGCTTACTTACACTGTCGTGTAAATTAATAAAGCAATATGCTGTAAATCTTAAATACATAATGAATTTAGAATGTTCGTTAAATTAAAACAAAATAAATTTCTATATAATAAAAAATATATAAAATTTTCAATATTATTCTATAGAAAAAACTTTCACTAAGAGGTAAACATAGCAGTACAATTTTTACTCTATTTTTTTTATGAATGGTCAATGTACAAATTTGGTATTATTGCATACCACCACAATATTTAGTTGGTACATGGTAAGGTAAAAATGGTACGTATACCAAGAAGTTGGTACGTCTAGCATCCCTGTATGACATTTTCGTATAAATTGACTTTTGACAATTTTGAAATCTTTTGTCGTCCACTTCGGGCCGACAAATCAGGGAAGAGGTGCGGGAGAGACCCATGTAAATCGCAGCCTTCTTTCTCTTTCTACCAACATCCCTGGTTCGTAGCACGCTTCTCCCCTCCATCTCTACGGTTTTCTATCGTTGATAACATCAAAATATATAAAATCTACTAGCGCCATCTAGTATAACAGGTATTTCAACTAAATTAAACTGACAGTTTATTTTTAAAAATACAGATTTATACGAAATAAGGGAAATAAATAATGATTATTTTGATCAGTGTATTTTATTTATATTTTCAAAAGATCTTATGTAATTATTTGTCTATGACTATTTGTTTTGCATCTTATTACTTATACAAACACACGCCATTGGGGAAACGCTCACGAAATCGAAGACAGACGGTAGTGCTAATGATATCTTCGATGATGGATAGAACAGAAACCATCTTACAGCGTTTTCAAGATACAAGATAATTTATTTGTATTAACTTCTGCACATTAAAGATGTTAATAACATTTCTTGATCAACATGTTTGACCATTAAACGTGTACAGAAAATAAATTACTTTACAATAGTTATTTACCTTAACATCAAAGCGCTTTTTACATCTAACACAAAACTATTTAAGAACATTAAACATCACAAACAATTATAATTGCAGGATTCGAATATCATGACGATTATAATCAATAAATAATGCCGCGCCAATCCAAAAGACTGTAACTCTACTTAGTGTGAATCCGTTTCTTTACGTCGGTTTAGTCCCCTGACTAACACTTTTGTTACCAACCATCCACACCAATTCACCTTACCCTAATCCTCATTTGACCTTCTCTCAACCTGTCTTAGTTGATAAAATAATATACCTACATTACACTAAACTACACATATCCTGAGTCTGGAGTCCAGTAATCTGTTGTACTGTCTCCTAGTACATATACGTCTCTTACACAGATTTGCTCGAAAAATTGTATATTTGGCTAGACCTCGCATGAGAGTGAACATTACCAGATTGGTGTTAGATGGGTTACCAACTGGTCATATTCAACTGGCACAGAGCAGACTAAGTGGGCTCGCAGAGCTTACTAGTTACCTTACCTGATAAGGGTGCAGTCAGATCATTCGCGTTGCCAACTAGTTATTCATTCAAATTAAAATAATTTCATCATCATTAACAGCCTTTAACAGTCCACTGCTGGACATAGGCCTCTCCTTAGAAAGGAGGGTTTGGCTAAGTATACCACGCTGGCCAGACGGGTTGGTATAGGGTTTGTGTCAAGTTTTCCTTCTCTTTGCAGTGTTGTTGTCCTGTGCGGTTTGCTCCCTTAGTCGGCTCTTACGACACCCACGGGATGAAGGGTGGTGGTGACAATCCGTATTCTTAATCCGTCACCACCACACGGACATGATCATTTGTTTCGGACAAAATTCATCCATATAGTGTAAGTACCAGTGTGTCTTAAACTAGTGTTATTATTAAATAATATTATAAACAAGCTATCTATCTATCTATTCTATTATATTCTATACTGCAGCACTCCTAGTCGTGTTATAACTTTAGAGATTCTCAGCTCCAGAAAAGTGGTGAGTTCAAAATCCGTAGCAACGATGCGTAGGTCACTATATAAGTGTTGAGATGCTCGAAATTTGAAAATGGAACACATCTGCGTCACATATTATTAAAGGGCAAATTTATTTGAAAATCGAACACAAAAGGCCATTAAAAAAATGGAAGCATTATCATCATCATCATCAACAGCAGTCCACTGCTGGACATAGGCCTCTCCTTAGAAAGGAGGTTTTGGTCCACCATACCACGCTGGCCAGACGGGTTGGTATAGGGTTTGTTTCAAGTTTATATGTAAGTATTATACTGTCATAATTTCCCGCTTTTTCGTCTGCTACAATGGAGCTTAATCGTGAACATTTGCGTGCTATGATATAGAACGTCTTTAACCGTGGTTTATTTGAAGGTTTAAGCTTAGAACGTTTAAAATCAGCTTTAGGTGTGTCTGCTCTGGGCACCAGGGACTTCCTTTCTAGAGTATACCTGGTTCCCCGGCTATTAGTACCCGAGACGGCGTGCGGTTTTAGCCGGTTCGAGTCCGACATGCCACCGATAGGTGGTATCCGAGGGGATTTCCGCACGGAAAAAAAAAAGGTGTGTCTGCTCTTTCTCGGGCTACCACTTTTAAAAACTTTTACTTTCGGGCTTTTAAAACGGTTTGACGAATTTAAAAGGGGAAATACTAGCCTTGAAGACGATGCCAGAAGTGAACGCCCGCCAACAGCAGTCACTGCCGCAAATGTGTGGTCTACTGAAATACTTATGCCCTATAAATTACATACAGGGACAAAATCTTAAGCATCAGTTCGGTTAGTATCACATGTTAGAATGAGTGAGCTTTGTTGTCGTTGGAAAAAGCCCGTGTGGAATGTAGAACTGAGATGCGTCTACGTTAAGAAAATGAAATGTCAAAACGTGTTTCTGAAATCATTACTGGCGACAAAACATGGATGTATCAATATGGTCTGAAAAGTAAGAAGCGTTCCTCGGTATGGCTGTTTCCAGATGGTCTGTTCCCAAAAAAACAAAATTGTAAGTCTGTTAACTCAGAATGGTACACTACAGTCGAATTGCCAAAAGCTTTCAAAGCTTTGCAGAAGAGACGACCACACACCGGGCTCCGAGGAATGATGCTGCACCACGACAATGCGTCTTCACACTCTTCCCTCAGAACAAATGGGCTTATTCAAGAATCGGGTATTGAAACCCTACCTCACCCACCTTACAGCCTCAACGTAGCTGCAAAATATAAGATAAAAGGCAAGTTTTTTTTCAAGTGTCGAAAAAGCGGTGGCTGCCTACGAATCAGCCATTTTTGACTTGTACGAGGAAGACCGGATTAAGTGTTTAAAGACTGGTCTAGGCGGATGAAATTTTGTAGAGTGATGGAGTATTAAAAAAATTATAATTGTAAGTATGTATTGTTTACTTTTTGCGTGTCTCAAAATTGATATAGTGATCTCTTTGCAATATATTTGCCAAAAAGAACTGTTTACAATTGTCTTTATATTCACTTTTAATTTCTATGGCACTTATGTCTATGCTATTCTAAGCAATTATACAATTCAAATTCTAAACGCAATCTAGGAGATCTTTTTACATTTGAGTACATGATCCATATCAAAGAGCCTGATATGCTGCAGTACACAACCCCGTGGGTAGCTGCGAACCGTACTATTCGTTTGCTGAGCCTAGTGGTGATCCAGTCCAGTCCTGGTTCACCTTGTGCCGCTCCAGTGCGGCTCGAATGTTAATGAAATTGGTTTTGTCGACGGCTCCCTTAATATCTACGAAGGTCTCAAGGCCCTTGCATTATTCAGCTGCCTCTCTTTGTTCTGTGAATCGACGGAACATATTCGCTTAGTGGTTGTTGTGTAAAACTGTTACTTTTCATTTCAATATTTGTTTATTTGAAAGAATACAAAACAGATGAGAGATAGGCACGTTTAAAGTTGTTGCATAAAACAAAATTAATTAGCAAGGTGTAATTACATATGTCGCTCGTGACGTTGATCTCGTCATGTCTCTCAAACAAGTTCCTTGTCAGTGTGTGTCGCCATGTGTCTCCTTAAATGACATAAATGAAAGAAACTCCTCTTACACATATTACAGTCTCTCTCTCAGTGGTTTCTCACCAATGTGTGTATAACGGCTTTGTCTGAATTGTGTGTTAAATAATATTATGAGACTGATATGGTTTCTCACATGTGTTTGAACGCATGTGACTATTTAAATAACTCCTCTGTGAGAATTGTTTCTTACATGTATAACACTTATATGGTTTCTCACCAGTGTGTGTACGAATATGATACTTTAAAGAAGTTTTTGCTGTATATTGATTCTTACACATGTCACAATGAAATGGTTTCTCACCAGTGTGTGTACGTATATGTTGCCTTAAACGACTTTTTAATAAAAATCGTTTATCACATAAATCACAATGATATGGTTTCTCACCAGTGTGTGTACGTATATGATATATCAAAGAAGTTTTTGCTGTAAATTGATTCTTACAGATATCACAATGAAATGGTTTCTCACCAGTGTGTGAACGCATATGATACATTAAAGAAGTTTTTGCTGTAAATTGATTTTTACATATATCACAATGATATGGTTTCTCACCAGTGTGTGTACGTATATGTTGCCTTAAACGACTATTTGATAAGAATCGATTATCACATAAATCACAATGATGTAGTTTCTCACCAGTGTGTGTACGCATGTGAATAATCATATAACCTTCCGTTGAAAAATTTTTATTACACATATTGCACTGATATCGTGTCTGAGCGGTGTGTTTACGCATATGTTTAAGTAAAATTTCCTTTAGTTTGAATTGTTTCTTACATGTTTCACAATGAAATGGTTTCTCAGAGTGTGTACGCATATGTCTAATTAAATTACTCTTTTGTGAGAATGTTTTCTCACATATGTTACAATAACATGGTTTCCCACCAGTGTGTGTACGCATGTGAATAGCTAAATATTGAATGCCTGAGAAACTTTTGTTACACACACTACACTGATGTGACTTTTGAGCGGTGTGTGTACTATTCTGACTTGAAAGATCTTGTAAAGTGTCCGGTACGAGAACGTGATGCTTCAGGTTGTTGGAGGTTAAATCTTCTGGATTTCTCTGATCGTCTTGCGTAGATGCCTTCGGAGTAGGATCAACTAGATAATAAAAATGGCAATTACAGTGTGATTTTGAATATAATTGGAGTAAATAGCAGGATAAATAAAATGCTTTAAACACAATATTTTTGAGGACTTAATTAGCGTTAAAAATTAAACCATTTTTATCTCAGAATTTTTGTTATAAAAAAGAGTGTCAATTTTGGACAAAAGTAGAATTTTTCTGCGCACATGTGCGTTGTACACACACGCATACCAACGCACACGCAGACGCGTACACACAAAATTAACTTGTATCATCAACAAGTACTTGTGTCGAATCTAGTCGCCGTTTGTGTCCCTTGTTTATTAAATATCTATTCATTACCCGGCGTCACAGGAATCACAAACATTACAAAAGTTGTTAATTTAAATAAAAACATACGCAGTATACATACTTGTCATGTCTCCGGTCTGTTCCTCCTTGACAGTCATTACAAAACCCTTTGAGTCTGCAGACTGTACGTTGTCAAAGACACTATTTTCCTCCTCATCGATACGAGTATCTATAAACAACATTGAGTCCTGACTGCAAGTCGACAGTTATGAAGAAGTATGTTTTTACGCAAAGGGGGGGCAAACGAGCGGATGTGTCGCCCAATGGTAAGTGACTACCGCCGTCAATGGACCTGCAGGGGTGCTTAAGGGTATAAGTAGGTTGGCGCCCTTTGAGTAACCTCAGTCACTCGGTCAAAGGCAACTAAAAAATTATTTCTATTCATAGTGCAAAAATGCGTTGGGTGCTAAATCTCAATTATTGTAAAAATATTTTACAGCCAGATATTGTTAAAAGTTAAGTTATTGGATAATGTAATTTTAAAATATCTTGAAAAGCATCAAACGCTTTTTTACGATAAAATGATGTCTTTTTGAACTTGAAGAAAATTATTTTCTACTTTTTTATTCGGCTAGTTACAAAAGCGTGTTTCTTGTTTTTTTTTTAAACTATTTATTTTTGCTGTTTAGTCATAAATGATGATTATTTTCTAATTAAGACTAAAAAAGTAACAAGTAAGTAAGTCACATATACTTCTACTACTTCTACTACACGTAATTTAGGTATGGAAAAAGCCGTTAATCTTGAAGATCCTGATCAGGATAATCATCTGCCTACCCTTTTCCCAATTTTATTTGGGGTCGGCGCAGTATGTATGATTTTTACATTCTACTCTGTCATGCGTCATCTCACTGTTTACTCCCTTCCTAGCCATATCCTCCCTGACGCAGTCTATCCACCTCTTCTTCGGTCTGCCTCTTCTCTTGTACCCTTCAACTCTCATACCTTAAACTTTCTTCGCCACATTTTCCTCATCCCTACGCATGACATGTCCATACCAAGATAACCTATTACTTCTTAACTTTTCATCCAGTGGCGCTACTTTCAGACTCCCTCGTATATACTCATTCCTAACCTTGTCCATCTGAGTCACACCACACATCCATCTCAGCATTCGCATTTCGGCTACATTCAGGCGTCTCTCATCCGTTCTCTTAATGGGCCAACTTTCAGAGCCATACAGGACGGCAGGTCTGATAATAGTTTTATAAATTTGTCCCTTCAGTGTTAAGGGGAAACTGGGGTCACAAGTTGATCCCGTTACCTGCCGCCACTTCATCCATCCCGTATTGATTCGATGCTGTACAGTTCGATCAATCTCACCATCACATTGTAAGAGGGAGCCGAGGTACTTGAAATTGGAGCAGACTGTTATCGCTATCATATAATTACATTTAGTCAAAAAAGTATCGGGAATGGATGATTTGTTTATGGTTCCAAATTCAAATTTTGTGTTTTTTTTTTGTTGTCGTTAGATTAGCACAACTGTTTTCCATTTTGGAGCGGAGTTTGAGTTGCATCTGTTATTTATATTAAATACAGTGCTGTTTTTAGTTATATCATATCTAGTGTGTATTGCGAATTTCATAATGGACATAAACATCGAACGAAGAGTTTGTCTTAAATTTTGCATCGCCAATGGAATTTCGTGTTCGGAGTCACTGAAAATGTTACAGAAGGCTTACGTTGAATCGACTTTACAAAAACACGTGCTTATGAGTGGTACAAAGCGTTCAAAAGCGGTCGAGATGTAATGGAAGAGTTGTCTCGCTCTGTTAGGCCATCAACGTCTGCAACTGAAGTTAACATCGCAAGAGTGAAGGAAATAGTGACTGAAAATAATCATTCAACTTTGAATAGTGATAGAAGTCATGTTGACTATTTTCTTTGACTATCACGGTGTTGTGCACTCGGCATTCTTGTCGGAAGGTCAAACGGTAAATAAAGAATATTATTTTCTTCGCACAAGGCCATCATTATGAACGAATTTTTGACCAAACACTCAACAACCAAACACTCAACCATTGAGCAACCACCATATTCACCAGATATGGCTCCAGCCGACTTCTTTCTTTTTCCTAAACTCAAATTACCACTTCGTGGCACCCGTATTCAATCGGTAGAAGACAAAGGAGAATTCGCGGCGAGAACTGAACTCAATTCCGGAAACAGCGTTTAAACAATGTTTTGATGATTGGATCATTCGTTGGCGTAAGTGTATCGTTTCTGAAGGAGCATACTTTGAAGGTGATAAAATAAAGTTGGATGAATAACAAACATTTTGTGTATTACTGATCTTTTCTCGGTACTTTCTTGACAGAGTAGTATAATATTGCCATCGGTTCTTGAAATGTGCGTGAAGTTACCATTTAATTCGACGTTTCGAAGTGGGATAAATCACGTTTGAAGATTCCGTTACAAACATACATACATACCAAGCTAATAAAAGCGTGTTCAAAAATATATGGATACAGATACGCGGCACCCCACAAGCACTTCCCTTTGATCCACCTTATGTTTATGTCACATAAACAGACCATATAATTAAATGTTAAATATTACCTTCACAATCATTTGGTTCAAGTTTTACTTCACACTTCAGAGCCTCCACACCAACATTGTCTGCATTTATCTCATGTTCATGTCCCATGCTCAAGTGTACAACATTGTCCATGGTGAGTCTCTTCTTATTGTTTATGCCTTGCAGCTTCACTTGTTCGGGCTGTTGGCAAGGTAAATCATTTACATATTAAATTTCTTTTAGACATTACACATTACGCCGACCCTATTACTGTTTTGTGTCGTCCCATGTGCGGTTTGAACCCACAACACTCGGCGTAGTAGGAAGCGGCGTGGCGACCGCTTAAACCACTACGCCATCCGTGCATCAAAAGTCAAGTCTACAAGGTTGACTCAAAAAGTTCTACGAATTTCTATAAAAAAATTAGGAATTAATCTGTAAAATGGGCTCCAGTGATACTCTGTCTTTTCGGCATGTAATCAATAAAAAGGATACCTTCACTATTCCACAAAAAATGAAGCCGTAACTTTGCCAGCGGTATGAGAGAATTTATTTATAAACCGAGAGGATGGTAAATTCGGTCGGTCGGGTAAAGTTAAATCGGTTGACTGGCGGAGAATGTCTTAGGCATTAAGTCCGCCGATGCATGTTTTTGCGCAAAAAGTTATAAAATAAATAAATTCCAAGACATGATTTGTTTTTTGGTGCCAGGATCAATATGGTAATACCACGTCTCATCCATGGTGACAATATGAGGACAAAATTGGTCCAGATCATGGTGTACCATTTCGAGAAGATTAAGGGTTTATGATGTTTTTGTAAATGAATACTGTTTCGACCCAGCATCCATGACAGAGGTGTGTAACGGATTTTACGTTCCTGTCTTTTAGTCAGGCGTCAGTCTAGATGTAGTCCAAGGTATCATACTCTGTCTTGGTGATTGGTGAGGGAGTGTGATATTCTCTAGTTTTACAGAGGGACAGTTTTCTTATCGCAGCGCGCAGGTCACGTGTACAGACTTAGATGTGCTTGCCTTTATTCTCTTTTTTTGGAGTAATGTGGTGACATCGTCTGTTTCTTCAGTTGCTGTGTTGCAATCAAAGGGTTTGCAACACAGCAACTGAAGACACAACACTACAGCTACTTGTGCCAATGACAGTATCATTGGCACAAGTAGCTGTAGTGACATCTGTGGCTCCGGGCAAGTCAGCCGTATATATGACATAGAAAACTGGTCCCAAGACTGACCCTTGTGGCACTCCGGCCTTTATTTGGTAAAAATCGGAGGTAGAATCTAAATTGTGCTACATTGTGCTAAATTAATCTTCTGTCCTTCACCTGGAATATTCTCTCAACTAAATAAGGTTCGAGCAACGAATAGTAGCTGTATGGGAGGCTGTTTTTTATTTTATACGGCAAGCTTTAGTGCCATACTCTGTCAAAAGCCTTAGGTATGTCTAAGAAGAAAGAAGAGCAGTATTCTCTCTCCTCCAGCGCCTTCCTTATTTTGTCAACGGCTCTGTGCACTTGCTCCACCGTTGAGTGATGGGCCCTAAATCCAAACTGGTAAAATACGGTGTAATAATTTTTTAAACAACTTAGACAGTATCGGTAATAAGCTGATGGGCCTGTATGAAGTTACTACAATATCTGGTTTACCCATTTTATGAACCATCAGGATCTGGGAGACCTTATGTTGCGATGTGCACACACAGCCCTCAGTGGTTATCAAGGGTGGTTTGGGAATGTGTGGTATGTCGTAATTCTTTGTGAACTTCTACAGAGATTAAGTAGTTGCAGTAGTGGCTGTGAGCGACTCGACTCCAGTTGGTATTCAAGGGTATTGTTTTGCCAGCTATGTAACTTTTTCTGTTTTCTAAAGGTATTTAATTTCATAAAGGATATTGGTTTTCGGAGTCGTCGGTTAGATCAATTAAATGCCCAGTAAAAGGATTAAATGTTTTAGTTGTGTCTGCTGGCGGGCTACTAGAATGTCTTCTCTTGATGATTCTTGGGTCTTACTATTCCCTACAATGTAGATCTGGGTCTCATAAGAAACAGCCTAAGATGGAATGCTTGCTGCACTAATATTTTTGCTCTCGGTATTCACTTTGGATGAGCGACTGCCATCATCCTTTTTTTTCTAATGTAGGCGTAATCATTAGTTTAAAATAATTAGTTTGTTTTGACCACAAATATAATAAAATAGCAATTAAGTCATGCAAACCCTCTAGGAAACGTCACCTCGTTTTTTTTTAAATAATAGGCAATTTTTAACACTATAACCCACCTCATCACTGCTCAGCATTCGTGTGAACAGCTCCTCACTCTGGAGACAGCTCTTCCTCAACTCATAGCAGTTCTTGAGCCTTGCGTAACATATGTAGCAAGCCAGTACAGGCTTGCCATCTTTAGTTTCCAACTGCAAATACACAAACGAAGTTGTTTATTACCGGCAGCAGTACCTTCCTTGCTTAAACATAAAAAAATGAAAAAATAAATAATACTCACACTAGGACACACGACATTGCCACTAAGAAATAGATTGTGCTAAATTAATCTTCTGTGAAAATGAAGTAGCACCTTTACTTAAGGTCAATTATATTTGAATTTAAACCCACTTAGTGAACAACCAAAGAATACTCCATGTCCCATTAAAAGTAAAATTCTTTAAACAAGTTTATTGTTAATTTAAGCACTCTTAAATTAAACTTCTTTTAAGATTTGATGGAAAGATAGAGGATTTGATAGTGAGGGTCACTATGAGCAACGCTGTCTCTGTACTGTGTCCTGGTGGGAATCCTGACTGATATGGGTTGAGCAAATTATTCCCGTAAATGAAGTTTGAGGGTTTCTTATGTTCTTTCTTATGGATATTGGACGAAAGTGGGTAGGGAGAAAAGGGTTAGATAATTTGGCTAATAGACGTACGTATTTTGTTGTTTAAAAGACATTGAATACGTGAGGAAATCGCATGATAGCCTTTTAAAATTATTCGTACGATACATATAAACACAACATTGAAGATCCTCACACATGATCTCGCTAACAAGAAACACTACGCAGCTACCAGGAGATATAAATGTTGATTTTACAATTACTTACCGGCATCAAAACCAACGACTCGTACATTTCTTGTAGATGAGTGCCGACAATCGAATTCAGTCGAACGTCTTCTCCTAAACAAACTCTACACATCGAAAGCTTTTCCATTATTAATTCAATAGCAAGTCCACACTCTTTCTTTGTGCCTCTGTAATCACTTTTGTGATTGTATAATCAAAGTGAATGTGAACTATAGCATTGTATAAAAGTTTTTGGCAAAAGGGGTGGGAGCCCCGACGGACGCCACATAGGGCCCGTATAACGTTTACACCCCTTTCGCTCTTCTTAATAGTGTGGTTTAAATTGTGAATACCTGATAATTTAGAGTCGAGAATAAGACTTTACGTTGTCTTTTATTAGAATTAATTAATTCGACTTTTTTTTTCTATGCGGCAATCCCCTCGGATACCACCCACCGATGGTTATGCTAGACTAACCGCACGACTCACAAATGTACACCTTAAGCTATCCTAAAGATTTCTCAAGTATAGTTGTGCTGTCAGAAATCTTTTTAAAATTGAGGAAGTCCGACATTGAATGGGACGAAGAAAGTTTGTTCTCAGCCTCTTTACACTTCTTAAAACTGACAGTTTATTCAGAATCCCACCAAGGAGGAGAAGTCAATTTACGGGGAGGTTGTTTAATTGGGATAGAGCAATCAGCAGTTGAGTAAATTGGAGCAATAAATTGGTCATAGAGATGAAGAAAATTAGAGGAATTTTATGAGCAAGTAAGGCTAAATTTGAATCCAGTGATGTTGCAAACTCGTTCCAATTGAGTTGGGAAAATCTGTATTTGAGGAGGGGAAGTAGGGTTTGAGGGACATATTAAGAGTCTGAGAGGTGGTGTTAGAAATTAAAATAGGGAAGTGATCACTACCAAGGGAGTTAGGAAGGGGAGACCAGGATAGATGGGAGACTAGGGCAGGAGAAGATAGTGTAAGATTTTGTACACTAATATTTTGGGATGGGAAACTGTAACGTTTCAGATCCATCATTAAGGATGCACAAGTTACAATCATCCACAACGTCAAGTAAGATAGAAGAGCATGGCTCGATATAGTGACATCCCCATAGAGTGTGACGGCAGTTAAAGTCTCCTAAAACAATCGCTATAGCTAAAAGAATTGTTTTCAATTCAAAAATAATGTTTGTGCTGGGATAGGGGATGTAAACATGTAAACAGAGACAAAGGAAACATTAAAAGTACTGAACGCTGCAATATTTAAGCCAGGAGTATGGTTTGGTAATAAGATTTAAGAGAATGAGATATTCCTATTAACCAACAAAGCACACCCGGCATAACCATAATTTCTATCGTCTCAAAGGCAGGAGAAACCTGAGATCCCGAAATCGAAGTCAGGCTTCAACCAGGTTTCTGGGACTGCAAACACAACAGGTTAATGTTGATGAATCAAATAGGAAATATCTTGTTTGTTACGACGGATACTCCTACAACTCTATTAGAGGACTTGGAGAGCATTTGGAAGCATTATTTTTAGAGAGAACAGAAAGTAGTTGTGTTCAGGAACTGCAACGTCGTACAATAACATGTATGTATGGTATAATAAACATCATATGACTGCCCAGACATAGATATTTTTTTTCTTTTAAATCACATTTCTAATTTCTGTGCATCTACCACTTTTTTGACTCTGCATCGCCCTAAGGTCGACTGGTAGAAAATGCCTACGGCATTAAGTCCGCCTGTGTCACATTTGTGCATAAAGTATAAAATAAATAAATATCCGGCAATGGGGAAGGTTGACTGTTTTTTTATATAATATGAAAGGAGAAGCAGAAGAGGTGGGTATGTAGGATGGGAGGGAGGAAGAGAAATTACCAGGGGATTTAGGACTGGCAGCAGCCATAGTATAGCCGATTGGGAGACTGTAGGAATCTGGCTGATGCTTCCATGTAACTCACGTTTGAATGAGATATAACAATTGTAATAGATTTTTGTCTACTATGTTCAGGATATCTGATGTCAGAAGCACAAAAAATCAGGATACCTCGGATTCATGGACCAGGCAGAAGTCACCAGTGTGGCTGAGCACACTTATAGCAGCTGGGCTGAAACATATATTGTTTAGCTACGTGGCCAAACCGACAACCATTGCTACTTTGAATAGATAATTGGTAAAAAGACACAGGTAGAGATGCATTAAACCAAAAAAAAATCTCAGGAAGGCTCTGTCCTAAAAATTTGAGGACTACTGAGTTATTAGGGACCCAAACAGAGGTGTCCTCTTTTTATTTTTTATATTGAGTCGTCTAACATGAACAACCTCTCCATAATTTTTTGGGGCAGAGATTCCAGAAATGAGCTCCTCCATAGTCCACTCAGTTGGAATATCCCTAACAGCACCCATACGAAAAACTTGAAAACAGGGAATATTTGGTGTATAATTATTTTTACTAACAATTCAGGAATTCAAGAAATTATTAGCAGATAAAGCTGAGGTGAATTTCACACAGATCTTATTGCAGCCGATATTTTTTATTCCCTTCAACAATGTCAGGTATTCTATGCTTAAATAAGAACTGAGAGAATTTAAGGGGTTTAATAGACAGACCGGATGATGGGTCAGGTTCAAGTTAAGAAACATATACCGAAAATGAGCCCTTGTCTGATGCTGAGTACTCAAGCCTTGAATCCGACTCAAATCCGTGTTTAGAGTAGACTGATTGGATGAATTCAGCTGGCGAGAGAACTTTCTTCTCATCAAAGTCAACAGAAAAGACTGAGTCTAACGTTTCACGGCTTTGGGTTTGTTAGGGGGTAACACATCGCCCCTATCGGGGGGTCATCCAGGCTCATTCCCGAAGAAATGAGAGCGATTGTCTACTTTCACTGACCTTATCAAGGATTGTTCTCCCAACAAAACCACACAAACACAACTTCAAAGGAACAAAAAAAGTTATTTGCCAAAATACCGATAATAACCTATAAACTCACTACTGTTTAATATGACATATACTTCAACTAGACATTAGGGATGGGCGATGCAGAATGTTTATATCATATTTGCGTGTTCAAACGACTCGCCTAAGATGTAATAAAAATCATAATTAAAATATCTAACGCCAAGACCAACCAAAAAAAGTACTTACACCTTTTCTCAAAGGGCTTCGTTGATTTTTTGAACCCTCAAAACTTGGATTTGGATGGACTTGACAAAAATAAAATAAATTAACATAATAGTAAACTTTGTGCGTTCCATTGAAGTTTATTAAAGATATTTTTAGTTTATTTCTATCCATTATTATGAAACTAAACAACAACGTTCTCAGAAAATAGACTCAAAATAAATGTCAAATACTAGGTTCAACAATTCAATACATATCTCTCCATATGTCCTTTTTTTTGTGATATTACTTATCTCTCTACCTTTTAATAGCAAGTTTTGCAATATCGTACTTCTTTCTTTTCTTTAATTGTTATTTTCATCCTGTTTATATGAATAATTGCTTAAAAATACCTACCCCCTAGCCCTAAACAAATTGTGCCCGTTGTACAAACAAGAAAAAAAGATACGTTTTATTATGAGTGAGGAAAATGCACCTTTTAAATTAGCATAAGAACGCCTTCTGAGTGTGAAAAAAGAACAGACAACCATTTATCAACAGAGTAACAGGACAGTAGTCGTAGAAAAACCACTTTTATTAAACTCTGACGATTTCAGTGAGAGTGACATCACATGTCAAGTGAAAAATTGTTCGACGCCCACTCGTCAATGTAGAGGTGGTTAGAATAGGTAAGAAAAATTCTAAGAAGAAAACAACAAGGATACCGGTACAGGTTGAATGTGACATACAGGAGATGACATATTTTTTTCTTGTTTGTACAACGGACACAATTTGTTTAGGGCTGGGGTCCTTTACAGTTAGGAAATTTAAAAATTTGGGTTTCACAATTATCATGATGTTGCCAAAATTTTGGGCAAATTATATTGTTAGTTGTACAAAAAAAATATTATATGACCGTATGAAGTTCCAATAGTTGGAGTACGGGTAATATAAAACATGTTAAAGGTAGATGACATCCGAAAGTGTAAACATATTCAGGCCAAGTAGAACTTTAGAAACATATTCTTACAGATAGACTGAAACCACTAGGTTTCAGTGGTCGCGACGCCGCTTAGTACTACGCTGAGTGTTGTGGGTCCGATCCCCACATGGGACGACACTTTGTGTGATCCACGAATTGTTGTTCTGAGTATGGGTGTTCTATGTGTCCGTTTCGTGTGTGTTGTCGAGTCCCCCTAGACACAGGATATGTTCCTAGTGCAGGAGTTGTCTTAAAAAATAAGTTACACTGTCCACCCACGCACCCTCAAGGTATCTGCGCTTTAACCTTTTGGTATATACCATATGTACTCTCTAAGCACTCCATAATTTCTTTTTCGAACATATTCTTATCATCATCATACTCATATCTAGGTCAATTACTTTAATAATACACTTAGAAAACATTCGTTCAGTAGTAAACTGCACTTGAATATCAAGTTCCTAAAATGTTTGACATTCCATGAGTTTTTCGGCCTGCTTCCTTTTATTGAACAGGATGAATAGTTTATAGGGAGATTTATATTTAATCTTTATTATACCGTGTATATTTTCTTTCTGTAATAACTTCGCAGAATAAATTTGTTTAGGTAAATTTGACAGCGATGTTAAACATACTTCATGTTTTTCACAAGTGGGTACTTTAAGCCTTTAATAATCCGCTGCAGGACATAGGCCTCACCTTAACAAAGAGGTTTTGGCCTACTATACCCCGCTGGCCAGACGGGTTGATATAGGGTTTATGTCAAGTTGTACTTCTCTTTGCAGCGCTCTTATCCTGCATAGTTTTTTCCCTTAGTCGGCTCTTGCGACACCCACGGGATGAATAGGGGTGGTGACACTCCGTATTCTTAATCTGTCACCACACGGACTAGAGATATCATATTCATAAACAACATTAGTATACCATAAAACAATAATAGGCCTATGCTTTTGTGA